TCTCTCTCCCCCCCCAATCAAACTGAGCGGAGCTTAGTGATAGGCTATTTTAATAGTATACCATTAAAAAGTATATTCTCACTTTGTCTTCCTTTTAATTGAAAAACAAGCAAACAAATTTAATTAAAAAAACAAAGACAAAGCATTGATAAGAATACAATACAAGTTCCTGCGTGGTCGGCTCGTTTCATTCACAGTAATACAGTAACCACAGGCAACACACGTGTATTGGTTACATCTAGACAGCACACTGTAAAGGCAGTCTCTAAATCTAAAAACAGTACAAATACGATTGAACTAATATTTTCATTAATTGATATTTCTATGCTTATTCCAGAACTTGTCACTCATCAACCTGAAAGAAAAATGTATTACTTTTAAAAGAAAATGCAACGAAACTTCGAATATCTCTAAATACAACAGAGCCGAAGACACTACTCAAATGCTCTTTTGTGTAAAGAAATAGAATATAATTCTTACTTTCTATTTCATTCGATGTCTATGTCGATGTCTAATGTCAACATCATCATGGCAAACTAACGGACAACAGCAGTGTTTTCGAAGCTCCAAATGCGAATGAGACTCATTGAGCTAAATGATGTTCAAGATGTTGTGGACTGTGTCTAGAGGAATGACATAATGATTTCACGTATTTCTTGGGTATGATATTGGGAGAAAAGTTGGCGTCACTCGACAAATGAACTGTTCATGACTTTTTTGACTTTGACTTTTGACAAAACTAACTTTTAGCTTTGACTTTGAGAATCTTACCTTTAAACTTTAGTTTTGCTAGTTCTAGAATAGATCTAGAATCTAGTTAGTTTTAGATTCTAGGCCTATTGGAGTTGGATCTCGACCAGACTGTCCTTGTTTGAATTTATTATAAATCAGTTATAATGGTATGAGTATCATGTATAGAATCTAGATATCTAGATCTAGTTAGTAGAGTCCATTCCATGCAGACATATAGATCTACCCATGGCATCTAGGCTAGAGATAGAATCTAGACTAGAGATCCTAATTGGGCGATTGTTAATAATTCCGATGTGCATTTTTCAGGGTTAGGGATAGGGTCAGGGTTTGGGTAAGATTGTAGATCAAGGGACAAAAGCGTAAATTGCAGATGAAAAACGCACATCAGAATTAAACGCAGGAATCTTAACTATCGCCCCTAATTGATCTTCTAGATTTAGATCTAGTAACTAGTATAGAGAGCAGGAAGACCGATAAGCAGCAATAATTTTATCTTGTCTTAAGACTCTTAAACTCTTTTTAGTCTAGACAATCGTAATGACTTGATCTAGATCCTGATCTAATGATGATGCAATGGTTGTACTTGTAGGCTGTGGGAAAAGGCTCTAGTAGGGTTGGGTCAGGCTCGCAAAATTAGCGTCCGCGAGTAACGAACTACTCTCTGGCACTACCCGCAAACGAGCGGAAGGGTAACAAGCCATCCGCTTGTGAAGAGAAGTTCACTACTAGCTACACACACATCAGACAGAGACAACAGTTTGTTCAGCGAGCGGACGAAGAGACACCATGCATTCGAGCGAGCGGACAGACGGGGAGTGACTCCTTCCATTGCATACTACTTACAGCCCCCCCCCCCCCCCCCAAAAAAAAAAAATTAATTAAAAAATCACCACCCTGCCCCACATTGTAGCTAGGCGTTCATGGCAGAAATTTCTCTTACCCCCCCCCGGCCTTTGTGATAATTGGACCGTACACAGTGTGCCCACACAGGAGGTGAAAGGTTACACTCATAGTACTACGTCACCAGCCTCTTTCACTCCCTGTGGCACCGCTAGTGGTTTGAAACATTAGGCCTAATTGACAAACGATAGACGACGGGTCTAACCTCACGTCGAGTATCTTGTCTGCTAGAGTTCGTCCGTTCGCCAGCCCCCTCAGTGAATAAAATTGTGGAGCGGACCTAAAAAACTTACTGACTTGAGGCTTGAGGTCCGCAGTCCGCTTGCTGAGAGAGTCAAATTGTGGAGCGGACCCAAAAAACGAACTTTCTTGAGGTTCGCAGTTCGCTCACATGGCCGTCCGTTACCCGTTCGCTCTGACAGAGTCCGCAAGTAACAAAACCGTCCGTCCGCTCGCCCCAACTGTAGTTTCTAGTGTAGTATAGTCATGGGCAATCTCCGGTTTTGGCCCCATTTACTTCTAAATTTTGATTTTAGGGGTGCAGGGCTGGTGTCAGAGTTGGAAGGTAGTTTAAATAGTGGGCTAGGTTTAGCTCAGGCCTGGTTATCCATGCTAACATGCTGAGTCGATACCTGCCTCTTAAGTAAAGTGATCTAAATAATAGTGTCAATTGAATGGGGATGTAACAACACCTAATTAACACCTTGACTGTGCTGTTGACATAAATTTCATGCGTCTTGATACTCCTCTGCCCAGAGCTCTGTAAAATCCCATACAGCGACTGAAACTTGCGTTTTGTTTAATTGATATCTCAGCTACTACTCAGTTTTGAAGCTTTACTACCGATAAAACAAAGCAAAGTGTATTTCTTTTTCAAACACACTGCGTGGACAGAACCAGTGTGTAGAACCGGAGTGCATGTTCAGTCTTAGTACTACTTTTAAGTTGTGTACGTTGTTATGGCTTGTTCTATGCATGCAGGTCTTGTCAATGGATGAAATCATATTTATTTCTCTTTCTCTTGGAATAAGTTTTACCAATCTGTATAATAAGCAAACACAAGTCGATTACAGATTATTACCTGTGACATCTGCGCATAAAGAATTTTTCTTAGCATGTGGGGTGATATAGAATATAGCAGTCAAGGGGTTAAAGTTGACTAAGAATGTAGTGTTCCAAAAAAATGTTGACAGTTAAACTGTTACAATGATTCATTTTTTACTTCTAGAATCTTTGATTAGTTTTGTTTTCAAATATGGCGTATATCTTTGATTGCCTCACTAAAAAAGAGACTGGTATTAACACTTTGCCATCATATTTTGGGGAAAATCCAAAGAAACTGGGTGGTAAACATCGCCAATTAGCGAGATGAGGCGGCAAAGTGTTAAAGGAATATTGTGTCTTTTTATATGCCAAACTTTTCTTTATTCTTGTGTAACATTTCAGTGAATGTGCCTGGTGAGTGTTGTGTTGTACTATGGTGGGCTACAACCCACTGGAGAAGGTCCAGCTGTCCCACACAGAGCATGCACTAGCCGGGGCAGTTACTGGGGCAGTGACCCGGGCGGGCTGTCAGCCCCTTGATGTTCTCAAGATAAGATTTCAGGTAAGAAATTCTGGGACAATTGTCATGTAGGGTAACAGTGATGGGTATCAGTCGTGTTTTAGTTTTAGTATAGGTTTTACGGCGCTTGCAACTGCATAAGGTCATATGAGCGTTAGAAGATTAGAGGTGTTACAAGAGAGTAACAAACATAAAAAAGAAAAAGGGGAAATAAGGACGATAGATCATAGGAAAGAAGAAGCAAACCTCACCAGAGCACCCACCAACCATCCACAATTGTGGTCGCAGAGATTAATCTGTGATCCTGGTCAACAAGTCAGCCTACGAGCGTCATTTATAAAATCAAAATGTGCTCATTTTTACAGCCTGGAGGTTTTAAAGACAAATTTTGTTTTGTTTCCGTTATTAAGTGTAGAAATAAGTAAGCAACAACATAGGTGTAGAAATAATCTGATAAGTAACAACATCTGTGTAAAAGTAACCTAAGAAGTAACAACATATAGGTATGAAAGTAACCTAATAAGTAACAACATGGGTGTAGAAATAGAAGTAACAACATATCTATATATATATATGCGTAAAAGTAACCGATCGTCGTTTTTGTCAATCACAGCTACAGGTTGAGCCTTTAACGAAAAGTCAAAGTTCCAAGTACCAGGGAATCACGCAGGCTGTGAGCAGTATCGTCAAGGAGGAAGGGGTCAAGGCCTTGTGGAAAGGTCACATCCCTGCACAAGTTCTCTCCATTCTCTATGGTGTAGTACAGGTATTTACTTTTTGTCTTTTCGGGCCTATTTTTACTTTACAGTGTCAAGGGGAAAAAGCATCGTTGTTCATCTCTATGATTTGCAAGCAGTGATCTGAGTGTGAACTTGTCCTTTGACAGTCTCGTGGTAGACGTATGATTAAGAATAAAGATAATGTTGTAAATAACTTCAAGGCATATGCCAGTGTCTTCATGCAAGTAATTTTCAACGTGTGAACTGTGAAGAATTATGCTCTTGTTTTTATAGAGCGACAAGAAGAAGCGAATCTCTCAGAATGTGACTTACCCTGTTTTTGCACTTATGCATATGGCTCAGACCTTGTCAATAATGCTTACTTTTCTCTGTAATCTTGTGTGACCACTATGGACAAGTTTTACAGTAATTTAGTACTGGTGCTTGAAAATGTGCAAACTGGTGAAAGAAAGAAAAATGAAAAACGTTTTTACCATGAGTCTGGACATGTGCTGATTCTTAAATATTTTTTTATGGGCTAAAATACTATTTACCCCCAGTATGCGTCCTTTGAGGTTCTCACTGAAGGTTGCTGGCATGTCCTGCCAGCCTGGTACTGCACGAGGTACCGCTCCGTGAACCACACCATCTGTGGCGGCATTAGCGGATGCTTATCCATGGCCTTTGTGCATCCGGTGGATGTGATTCGCACCCGGTTCGTGGCTCAGGGAGAACCAAAGGTGAGTTGGGCATGGGTATGTTATGTAACACTGATGAATTATTATATATGTGTATATTTATGTTTGTATGTTATGCTATTGTAAAGGATGAAAGAATGCTGAATTGAATACTTCTTTGTCATTCTAGTTTCTCTCTGTGCCTTGTGTGACTAAACTGTTGTCTTCCAACGTCTGTCCTTCTAGGTGTACAAAAGTGCTGCTGATGCGTTTAGGGTCATTGTGAGGACGGAGGGAGTGCGGGGTTTCTACCGGGGCTTCGTCCCGGCTATGTCCCTCATCGGCCCGCAGATTGGCTTCCAGTTCGGCCTGTATTCGCTGTTCACCGACCTGTGGCACAGGGCAAAGGGACTGTGGGGTGGAAGTCCACCAGGTACGTTAACCTTATCCGTACGGTGTGTTTTAATATCGTATCCATACAACGTGGGGAACTCTGTGCCACCACTTTCTAAAGAGGAAATTTACTCGTTAGTCCAATCAGTACGCTTTGCATAGCAGTCTGTCAAAATGATTTTTTGAGAAATACTGAAAATTTCAAAGAGATTTTCGTACTAGAAGTATTCTGAAAAAGTGAAGAATACAACCCCGGGGGTACAAAATGACCCCTGGGTGTATGGATAGGGTTAAGGGCAAAAGCTAGTGTAGCACACACATAGTGAAACGGTGGGATGCGGAAATCTTTTTGTTATGGAGGAAGTTTGCAACACATCTACATGGTTTTTATATACAAAGAATATACACATTACGGGAAAAAATTTTGGACCTGAAAATCTGTTCTCTATATGAGTGGTTCGTTATGTGTGTTTTTGCTATTCGCATGATAGACTAATCAGTTTCTTGTTACAAATCAATTAATCAGGATAAAGCAGATCAGTTTCCCATGTATTATCGTTCAAAGCGAGAAAGGTTTTCTAAAAATTTTGTGTTTAATTATGTTAATGTGAACCATATTTTTATAGTGTTACGTAACATTCTATGACATTTCCACTCGACAATCCATGGACGTTCTCTGTAACGGTAGACTGGAGTTGAAACTACGGTGGAGTCAGCGTAAACGAAATCTGTGAAACCGTTTGATTTTTTCGGGGGTTAGCCATGTTTTCAGTTCAGAGAAATTGTTCGAACTGCACAGGAAAAAAACCCCTTGATCTTCTTTTGGTTTATCGCTGGTTCCGGATTCACCGTGTTTGATTAAAGCAGACTCCACTGTATTTGGCCCTTAATATACTGGAAGTTGAAATGTTTGATGAGTAGGCCTATGTGCACTGGCCACACCCCAGAAAACTGTTATGTCAGGCAGGCTGAATCAGGTGTGCCTCAATGTTATCCCTGTGCTGGGGTATGTTCTGCTGTAAAAAATTGACCTTTCAACTCTTTTTTTTGTAGTTAGTTAAATTTAAATGCTGTTTTTATTTTTTATTCCTTTTCTTTTTCACTCCCAGAGTCCTTGGAAAGTCTGCTATGCGGAACGGGGTCGGGATTTTGCTCCAAACTTTTGGTCTATCCACTGGACGTGGTCAAGAAACGTCTGCAGGTGCAGGGCTTTGAGGCAGCCCGCCGCCCGTTTGGTGCGGTGCGTCACTACAGCGGGATGATCAACTGTCTGGTCTGTGTGGTCAAGGAGGAAGGGCTGCGGGGTCTGTACAAGGGGCTCAGCCCCAGTCTCCTCAAGTCTGCCAGCGTCGCCGGCCTCAACTTCTGTCTGTACGAGCAGGTCCGCAACGCGCTTATACGTTACCATCTCAGTCAGAATTCCTGACACGTCGTTGAGAGATGATATTATATCAGAAAGGGCTGTAAATATGGTCGCTGTCGCGAGAGAGATGTTAGAAGCTTCCTGTGTAGCGCTGTTTTACATTGTCATCATCGTCATCGCTTTTCTCATCCTGGGTTAGACCGGTGTTCTGTGGTGTAGCGGTGAGGCAATTCGTTGTTGCACCTAGGAGACCCAACTTCGATTCCTGAGTGCAGGGAATTTTAATTTCGTAGCTCGGTCTTTCTGCTGGGAGGTTATAATATATCCCTTTCAGCCTGGCTGTCAGGGTCAGAAGCCTGCCATCTAAATGTGTGTTGGCCTGGAAAAATTAACTGGATGTCACTGATTGCTGAATAGAGCGAAAGCTGAAAAACCACACAAAGTTCATTTATCTTTTCATGGATTTGTCAATGGGGGCCTATAATCATTTACGTAAAAAGAAAAAAACAAAACCAAAATAAAAAAACAACCTCCCCCCAAATTTTCCCTTGGATCAGGATATTGGCCACGGGTACTTACTTACTTTCCACTTTCCCTCGTCCTGGCCTCCTGCTGCACTGGGTCAGGAGAAAACATTGGACAGGGTTCGTACAGGTCTTGGAAAACTGGAAAACTCTTGGAATTTTGTTTTTATTTTCCAAGACGTGGAAAACTCTTGGAACTTTGGGAAATTGGCAAAATTCTTGGAAAAACAAATTTTTAACTAGATCTATTGTAGAAATGTTTCCTCGAAGTTAAGAAGGCCTCGACTTCACATATATTCTGAAGTGTACTGTAATATATTTTTGCACGCCGAAAGAACATTTTTCTTCCGAAATGGCCCGTTATTTGTCTTGGAAAAAAAAAATCTGGTTTTGAAAACTCCTGTAGAAGTCTTGGAGAAAAAAATCGACAGTTCAGTATGAACCCTGATTTGAGGTTTTTGCTTTTCTTGCCACAGCGACAGTTTGTGAGGTGAGCTGACAGACTGAGTTGTTTCTTCTCCAGTTTTTGCACTTTGGACACAGATAGATACGCCAAGTTTATAGGTGGAGATTGTACTGTGTATTAGTAACAATTGATAAAAAAACATGTTAAACTTGAAGAAAATTGTATCAGTTGAAAATCTACAAATTGGACCCCTGGGCTGATGACTTCATTTTTAGTGGATTGTGAGAAGTAACTCATTTTGTCAGACCACCTCACATGGTGTGTAGTTTTGTTGGAAGGTTCTGTCCTCTAGAAATGTTTGTTGTTGCTATTTATTTTGATACAATGCTCATAGATCTTTTTGTTGCCTTTTCTTGGATGTTTTCAGTGAGTTTAATGTTGTGTATTTTGTTTGCTTGTACTTGTTATATTGGTTTGATTTAGTTTTACTTAAAAAAAATTGTGTGCATCTTATGTGTGCGTGTGTGTATGAAAGAGAGAGAGGGAGAGTGAGAGAGAGCGAGAGAGAGACCCACACACAAAACAGAGAGAGAGAGAGTCTGAACCATGGATGAGATGGGCAGAAACTGTTACCCATCATAGGTTTTATGGTAGGCAGACTCAGTATTGGCACAAAGCCTTGAGTACCGGGTTGGGGGGGGGGGGGGGAAGGGAGAACTGATGGACAAAAGGGGAGAGATGGGTGACACACAGCACGCAGAGCGTCTGACATCATCTATCTCCAGTACTGGTACTGGCAGTAAATGAAGTTTAGCGCCAGTTGTAGCCTACTAAAATACCAGTGCTCTATTTATTTGCCAGTGCCACCCATCATTAGTTGTAACACTGTCTGTAACAAATTTATTATTTAAAGTGTTGTGAGGAAATAGGTGAAAAAGATTGAAAGAGGATAGAAGAACTTATGAATGCATGTAGGTAGATCCACATTCCCGGTGATTATGTAGTCTTTTAAAAAAGTTTTTCCACCTGGACCGAAATTGGTCAGAGGGGGTTACTTAAACTTTTCCTGTTCTGCGGCTTATGTTTGCAGCCTGTACTTCTAATGTGAGTTGTACAATCAGGGGTGTAGCAGCCTGTCTCCCAAATTATCTTAATTGTATGGATGGGGGTGTAAAACCGATGCTGGAGAGGATGGACGTGTATAAATGTTTTAATGTTGTTTTTCTAGTTAGCTACACTTGCTTTGTTAATTATGAAACTTTTTTGTTTTGTTTTGCCATATCAATGTTATCACTCTCGTTGTCAGTATGATCGGATGAGTGTGCATAGATCTATGTTCACAGAATGTTTTAACCTGCAGTATTATTGCTGACTTCAGCAAAAACAAAATGTGAAATGAGTTGAATCTCTCGTCCTGTGATCAGTTCACGGGTCCTCACTCTGTGATGTGCTCACCAAGGACTTTGTGACAAAAAGTGAAAAACACTGAAGAAACTGGTGATTTGGTTTATTGAATCAAACTGAATCAAAAGCAGTAGAAAATCTTTGATGACTACGCATTTTTTGGTTGTTGACAAGATTAGTTGAACTTGTCCAAAATGGCCACCCATTGTCAAGGATAAAAGTGGTTATTTGTAGCTTACAGGTAATTGTCTTAGACAGGTGGCCATTAGAGAAGGCTGAACTGTATTTTGAAGCAAGAAAGATTAAAGATTCCGTTAGTGTTACTGTTAGTGATCAAAAGGGGAAAAAGCGAATGGTCAAATGTTGGAGATAACCCATTTTGTCACAAAGTCCTGCACATGATTATACTCAAAGTATAAAACTGCCAACTTCTGATAATCAACATGCTGATTGATGACTCTCTTAAAACTAACGCTGGTGACAGTAGCCTATGTCCCAATCTTGTCTTTTCTTTCTGACTTGTGATATGTAAAGTTGTTGCTATAAATATGTCTTTCTGGGACATACATGTTGTTTTTGTTATGAATGTCTTGTTGTGGTGCTGTTTTTATATAACTTGCTGAAAATTAATTTTTTAGTTTTATTTCTGGAGGTGTTTGTATTGTATAGCACAGATGACTTAAACTCGGTGAGAATGCTCTGTAAATATTTATTGGTTTTAGTTTGTGATGATTTAAGTACAGATATTAATACACCTTGCTCTGATATAGTGCCCATAGCAACTGAATTCTGTTGATTTTTACCGCAAAGCCTTGGCTCATCATAGTTGTGTCTTTTGAGACACATAGGTCAAGGTCAGTCTCTTTTCTCAAACCACCGCTGGTTCAGATTTTGCATGAAATGAGAAATACACAGAATATGCACATAAATATTTATAGTCAGGAAATTATGATGCAAATTTTTTACACGAGCGTGGAATTGTTTTTGAGTTGTGTGTATTTAAGCTTGGATTGCTCTGCTGTATATATTTTTTGGGGTTTCAGGTTGAGAATGTTGGATGAAAGTTTTTGAGGGTTTGGCTGGGATTTCCCGTAAAGCAAAATGGGTAGACTCGTGTCCACCCCCTCACTTTGCTTATACTAAGTTACATTTGTAGAGGACAAGTACAACAGTGAGTGGCCATGTGTTTCTGATGCCTTTACTGACCACAAGCACTACTAGTACTCTGGGCCAACTCTCGTCTCCCCTATCCATTTAAATCAGAAGACAATTTTTTTTTTCGCGGTTTGAACACACCATCGGTATTTTTCGTCACAATCTGTAAGGAGTAGATGTATCATGTTGTCCTCACAATTTGAATGAGAATATGTATTGTGTATTTTATTGCTAGTACTGTTACTGTTTCATCATATTTTTTTATATTTTTGTCTGAGGGGAGGGAGAACGGGATGTTGTTTTTACCTAGAATAAAGTTGTGAAACTTGACAATAGATGTGTGTGTGTGCTGTTCTTCCAGCTTGGATGGCATGAGTGAGGCATCTGTCGGGAATAGTGCCTACCAAAAACACAGAGCACGCTTCCAGATCTTGCCTTGTTCGGGAGGTCAAACTGTTTTAGTAAGTCTTTTACGTCACTTGCTACACAATGAGGTCATTGTTGCCAAAGATTACAGTTGTTACAAAAGAGTAAGAAACACAAAAAAGAAGAAGGGGAGATGAGGATGACAGGTGTTTAATAGGAAAGGAGGAGCAAATCACACCAGAGCACCCCGCCAAACACCCATCGGAGGTCAAAATGGGAAGGGAAGTTTAAAAAATTGAATAAACTAAAACGATCACTTTAACTTTAAAGGAATTGAGCAAATTGAGCAAACTATTGAGAGTAGCCACAGTAAAGGAAATGAACAAACTAGAATGGTCACAGTAATGGCTATATGCACAAACTAAAGCATTTTAAGTCACGGTAAAGAAAATGAATAAACTTCAGAAATCACTGTATGTAATTGGTTTATTCTTCAATGAAGTCCATATGACATAAGTATACATGATGTATGGTATGAGGAACCACATAGAGCTAGTCAATGTGTATAAAGTGTGCCAGTGTTGTGTACATATGTGAGTCGTTATTACTGTGATTGGGGGTGGGGACAAGGGTGGTTTATTTGTGAGTCTAAAATTATTGTTTGCACATGAACTACTAGTCTGTGTAAGAACATTGAGGACACAGATTTTACACAAAACTAGGTCGACATACTACTACTGGCTAAGGACACAATGTTGCGGTAAGTCTTTCATACTTAAAAATCCCAGCATTATCAAAAGGTACTAAAAGGCTAAAACAATGTGTAAACATATCTTAAAAGTTTGTGGTTTGAAAATGAATTCATACAACAAAAATGAGACGAAATTTCCGTCAGGGTTACTATGTGTGTAAATGAACAATGCTGCACAGGTCTCTTAACACCGTGGCGTATCAGATCAGAAAAAATATATTAGGTATCATGTTCGTATCATTCATTCACACCACGCTCTCTTCCAACTACAGACACCGGATCGGGGAAAAATATGATGAGAGGGGGGGGGTGTTGGGTTATTTATGGCATTCAGACCATAAGAATAAGATCACATGCATTCAGATATGGAACCAACACACATGCTAAACACACTGCATTCCAACACACTGAGCAGGACACAGTATTCATGTATGCAACAACACAATGTGTCATTTGTGATAAAAACAGAGCGACCACTGAGTCACACAATGTATCAATTATGTGACAGAACACAGCAGACCTTCATACATACATGACAGATGGAAATAATTAATGTTAATTTTATGATCAGACTTAAAGTTGCACCACCTCGTGCAAGTAGCTAGACCGTGTGACCATTTCACTGCGCTAGTTTTTGAGACAAGTCATGATCGTTATTTACAGAACCTCTCAAGTCTCTCAATGATGTTACACATTGGGAAATACAAATATCACCCAGTTCTGTTCGGACAGTTCGAAGAAGATGGAAGACTACAGACTGAAATTATCCGAGGAAAGAAATTATGTACAATACACGAACGTACTGGATACAGCCAGCTTGGCTTCCTCATCACATTTATTATTCTGATGGTTTCAACGTAAAAAAAAATAATTTAAAAAATCACCCACATCAACATAACCGACAAAAAGAGAACATCACCGGATGTAACCCTGGAACGCACGCAAGCACGCACAAGTACAATACACACGAAGTAGAGGTCCTTTATGTATGACAAAATAGCCCACCTCCCGTAGGCAAGATCCAATCTCCCCCCATCACTGCTCACTTCGCATCCTGAGCGCAATCTTTCACCTTCACCGTTGTAAAATTTTTTAATCACAAAATGTGCTGTAATTAGTAGGTTTCAGATTTCTGCTTCTTTGATTTAGTTTTTTTTCCTTCAACAATAAACAGATTCTGACCCTTATCATCAGCTGTTTTTTCCATGTCTCACTTTTGGGAAATACGCTTTTTTGACACTATTTAATTAAAACAATGGGGCTTTCTCTCTCTGACACACTAGGAAGCACATAATAGGCAACAACACATGAGTAACTACCGGTAAAAACAGATCAGGCAGAAACAATATTTATTTTTAATAAGACTTGAAGTTGTTTGTTTATAGACAAGATTCTACGTATACACAGCGGAGTTCATTTCTATACTCAAACACAGCATTTGTCTCAAACCTCATCACAGGAATAGTCAGGGGTAACAATATGGTTGTTCTTGTCTAAAACATTTGATCTAACAACACGAAGTTGACAACTCTTGGTTACTTTTTTGCTCGCTCATACATCGGAGTCCCAGCGGCTCAAAGAGAAAAGAAAACAACATATCAAGCAGAAATATTATAATTCTTTGTGGAAAAACGGTGGCTGCAGTTTCAATAAATTATAAAGAATTTCACCCCATTCAACAAGTCAGCACAGTTTGGGAAACCCAAGTTTGTGACAACTCTCAGTGTCAGGGCGATGATGGGCACCACGTCTTATTTCTTCACTCTAACAAAGAACCTGGCGTCACGAACAGCTCAGCTGGTACCTGTGGTCTCTCACAACTGTCGCTGCCACACCAGAGCGGAAGGAATCCCAAACTTGGGCCATTGTTTGAGCCCTACAAAACGAAATCCCCAAATTAGGCCACTGTTTGAAACCCGTAAAAACAAAGAAACCACAAAGTTGGACCACCATTTGAGCCCTATATAGAAAATTAAATCCCCAAATTGGGTCATCATTTGTTGAGCCACAAAAAAGCAGATAAGATTTCCAGCCCCGATATATCTCAAGCTCAGAGCCTACACATCACAAGTTATTCTTCAACAGGACTAAGCATTAAAATATATCTCAAGCTTAGAGAGCCCGTATTAGTTATCCTTCTATGGGACAGAACACTGAAATATACCTCAAGCTCGGAGCCTACTACTAGTTATACTTCTATTGGATAGAGCACTAAAATGCAATCTATTCCCATGTCACTTTTATCATCCTTTTGATGCAGGAGAAGCAACAAAACCACTAGCAACAACCCCCCCCCCCCCTTAAGTAGTATTTCTAACAACAAAGGTCACTGTTTGTGTCTGACACTCTCATCAACACAGTAAAGGTATTTAAGAGTACGGACCTCCAAATGTAACCCCTTTGTTGCCAGGGAATGTGCGTTACTCCTGTCAGCACTAATTTCAGTTAAGCTGGTTAGCCAGGACAACTGTGTAATGTCTCAGTGGACTTGCTGACTACATCTAAAAAACACTCACGACCCCAGATTTTTTTACAGGGTCACTTCCCTTATTCCACATATTCCCCTTCTTATCCATAATCTCAAGAAACTTGAAAATTTAAGCCAAGTTGGTGGAAAGCTTTTAAGAATCCTGCTCTTCAAGAATGCCCCCACTAGGGATTTGAACACCGGTCATCTGCACCATATCCCAGAAACTGAGCTCACAGCTAACCCCAAGCATTTATGAAAATGTAACGAGCGAACAACCAAACTCAGACAACAGAACAGACTTGTTTCACGTTGTTTCCTTTCAGTTGTATTGATTAATGATTAATGATTAATGATTCATGAACCTCACACACCGACCAAAATGTCATAAACTACCACAGGGAAACCTACAAACTGACCAACACACATGCTACATGTATGTAAAAACCTCATAATCCAACTATATCACATACATACATACTATAAACCTCACAATCTGACCATACCATATACACAATACAAACCTCACAATCTGATCATACCATATACATCACACATTCAAACTGTACCAAATGACAAGAATCAACAATTTGTTAGCCTATGTAACAATTGGAAAATGCAGTGGCAAAAATAGTCAAAACTTATGTCACAAACGTGGAGCTCTAGACAAACAGCAGCAGCAGCACATTCCAGAAATCAATGTCGGCATACACACATATTTACAAAAAGCATTGGGTGGAAGACAAAAAAAGTCCACCCACCTTCCCCCCTCCCCCCGGGTTAACCACACAAAAACTCTTTTAGTTTTAGTAAGCATCTTATGGCACTTGCAACCCAATAAGGTCATATAAGTGCCGAAGATTAGAGGTGTTACAAGAGAGTAACAATCACAAAAAAGAAGGAGGGGAGATAAAGACGAAAGTTGTTTGATAGGAAAGAAGGAGCAAAAACCACACCAGAGCACCCGCCAATCACCCCACAGAAAAACTCTTATTTAAAAAAATTTATAGTAGAGGGTTTTATGGCCCTCGCAACTGCACAAAGGTCATATGAGCGCCATGGGGTGGGTGTCAACAGAGAAGTCTTTACAGGGAATCAGACAGACTGCTCACCTCTCTAGCTTCAACAGCACAAGGTCTGCTTCGACTATCAAGGCACCCCAAAATAGCAGGTCACAAGAGAGTGACAAACATACAAAAGAAGTAGAGGAAAATGGCAATAGTAAGGATCAGGAAAGAAAAAGCAGCAGTTCCCTGTTGTAGATCAGGCACAGTTATGAGCGTGACATGAGTCAGCCCATTTACAATTCTACTATGCTTGAACGAGAAATGTCCCCCCTTTGGGAATGGCCTAAACTTTAGGCTAAAGAACTACACTCAGTGGCACTGCCCCGAGGGGGGTAGAAAAACTCTGATACATCCAATTTATTTAAAAGTCACATACGTAATAACCCTATATATGGGGGTGACGGGTTCTATGCCCTCCAGTATGGACAAAAACAATGGGTGGTTTGGTTTTATGTGTTCATAAAGAGAAGCACATCGACACAATAACATGACGTTCACAGTTGGGAAAAGCATGACAGACAGAAAGAAGCAACAAGAAATTCGGACCTACCAGTGGTTTCCGTTTTGGAGAACAGAGACCTCAGGGAATATATACACACAGCCTCAGGTTACAATACAACAGGAACACACGCACACATGTATGTGTCGTACACATGAACACATAGAAAACTCTGGACACTGTCTTTTGTACACTGATTTGTGATCTAAATTTGTTCTTAATGTGGTGACCAGACTGAAAGGCAACACATGTTCCCAACCTCTAAAAAAAATGTACCAAATGCATTTTTATCAAATTTAGAGTCCTGAGCTAATGTTTTATATTTGTAATTTTGAAAAAAACTTAGAATTTATTTTGAACAGACAGAAAGAAACCAGCAAGTGTAGGTCCAAAGGCACACATTAACAAATCAATAGAAAAAAGGCCACCATGAAACAAAAACTTTGTGAAGCAGAAATCTCAGATTGCTTCCAGAAACTTTTACAGTTACAACAAAAACAAACAAAAACGTGTGTGAAGTAGAAATCTCAGGTTGCCTCCATAAACTTCCGCATTTAAAACACAAACAAAAACTAGCTGCCAACTGTTTTGAACACCCCCCCCCCTTCCCCCCAAACAAACCCCAAAAACTCTTCACTACTCATAAACAGAAAGTCAAGATGGTGTGCATTGGCCAAGTAACCCTTTCAGTTTCAGAACTCTTCACACATGTCAGAAATGATTAGTAAAGGTCTCTCCAATTGATGTATGGGCTTCGTTCTAATTATAATTCTCATACCACCCCATTTCAAAAGCACACAATTTTTCTGTAGCATTGGAAAGTCCACGAGGAGTACTGATAGAAAACAGAGAACACATATTTTTCAACACAATAATGCACTTACAAACTCAGACCCCTAAAAAAGTATTTAAAATGTGTTTTTTTTAACATATCGGTTGGCAGCTATGTTTGTGTAACTCAAACCTCAGATTGCTTCCAGAAACTTCCAATAACAACACAACTTATTTAAAAAAAACACACAAAAAAACCGATTGCATTGTTCCTCCCAAAACAGGAAAAACGAGGCATTGAAAACGCTGAAGTGGGCACATTTGGATGCAAGCAGTGAGGTAGGTCAAATTGACGATGAAAAGCACTTCAATACAACAAACACAAACAAAAACACACACAAGCTAGATCAAGATGATCAAGATTCAACAAACACACACTTAAGCTTGAACAAGACAATCACACAACAAGCTTGAACAAGACAATCACACAACAAGCTTGAACAAGACAATCACACACCTAAGCTTGAACAAGACAATCACACACCTAAGCTTGAACAAGACAATCACACAACAAGCTTGAACAAGACAGCCAAGACTCAATCAGCAGTGGGTGAAAATGATAAATATATATATTTGTAATACAAAACAAATTGTGTAAAATGCTGAAGACTCAAAAAAAATAAAAAAAATGATACAAAATAAATGAAATGCCATTGCTATGGATACAAAGGTGCATAGCTCAACATACAACTTGAAAATATGTAGGGCACAGTTTAAAAAACAAACAAAAATAGGCAAAAACCCAAAACCCAGGCACTATTCTCAACATCATCAAAATACCAGTTGACATCCGCAACTTGTACATCAAGTGAGATTGCCAAGAAAACCAACTTTCACTGAGCTTACATTAAAATTCTCATGCACAAAAGAAAACGATTTTCAGTTACACTTCAGACACTTTACCAAGACAAAAGGTTTTCCTGAAGGAAGAAAATGATTCCGCTGCAGCTGAAATGCTCAAAATTTTATGGACACGAGTGACAACAAAAGGCATGATTAAACTCTACACCTTGATATCGGTACAGCTTGCATGAACACACAGACACACTCACATACATAGAAGTAATGTACAATTCTTTAAATACATTTTGATATATATACATATACATATATACATAGAACATAGCCGCAGAAACACGTGGAAATGCTGTGATAATGCTTTTGATTAGACCGTCAGATCATGATTACATAGCTGCTGATTAAACACACAAATAACAAAGTCAGCAATTCTCTTTGTGATTTAAAGCCATCCAGTAATCATCCCTCCCACCCCCGTAAAAAAAACCCAACAAACAAATAAAAGCCCCCCCCCCCCCCAAAATAATTTTTTAAAAATAAACAAGAAACCAAAGAAAGGAACAAACACAAGTTACCAGAAAGGTGAAAGGCAGAAATGTGTAAAAGTTTGGTGCATAAACCTGCTGACAGAAATAGAAAGTGGATATGTATACATCAGGAGCCCTTATCATAGCCACAGGATAAGAACATAAAATGTTTTAGGAAAAAAAAAAATGTTGACCTTTGTCCAGTTTGAACCTGCAAGCTGTAAAAAAAATGCTCAACATATTCTCATCCTGGCAAATGTAATTCAAACTTGTGCTTCGGCGAAAACTAAACAGTCGAGAGGTGCCACCGCTTCAGGAAAAAAAATAAGTGCGAGTGTGAGACTAGGCCCATTAAGTACAGTTATTATAATAACAATAAAATCTTTCCAAATTTGTTCACATTCCCGGCTTGTGATCACAGCTTGTGTCCAGCGAGATAAGTACAGCAGAAACAGGCCAATAATTGCTATAAATAATGTAAAAATCCTGTGGGAAAACGGAGGGAGAAGTACATACATGGCAGAACACAATCAGGGGTATGGAAATTGTTTTGTAGACAGTTTGATCACAAGGACTGTATTTATAACAAGCTTCTGCAAGAAAGAAGCTGAAAAGATACTTTAAAGACAAAAAAAGTGGACATATAGAACAGTCCAGCAGGAACATAGCAAATTCAAACCTTTTCATTATGTACGAATTTCAGGTTATATATACATAAGAACAAAAGACCTGAACATCTTTTCACTATGTAATAATAAGAAATAGCATTTGTATAGCACATTTCCCCACTCCACAGCAAACTCTATGGACTTTACACTATACTATTACCCTAACAGATCCCAGAACTCTTGGAAACATTCTCAGTTTCCTGGGAAGGGTAACAGTGCAAGCAGTTAATTAAGTGCTCAAACACTAACAAACTGACAAGATCTTTTGCAGCCTATAGCCAGGTACCCATTCTCATCTGGCTGAAGTGAGGAAAATTTGTGTAAAGTGCCATTCTTAAGGACAAAACGTAAGGCTACAAACATTATGGTTGTGAGTCCGATAGCCTAACCACTACGCCACGTCACTACGGGTGCTCTTCGCTGTGTGTTTGCTATGTGCATGCTAGACTACATCTCCAAATTTGCTTTTGATCATATGCTTTTCTTAAAGTAATTTTAAGGTATAAAATCACTGCTGCAAAATGAAACGGTAAAACTCAGCTGGCATCGGAGGTTTGCAAATGACGATATGCAAATCCTTGCTGTAACGTTCTCCACACTAGAGCTGTGTCAACGAGAACCCTATCTCAAACAACAGGGCCCTGCACAGTGTACATTAGTCATGGTGTGTTTTGTTTTAGTAAGAGTCTTACAGCACTTGCAACACAAAAAGGTCATATAAGTGCCGAAGATTAGAGGCATTACAAGATCAACAAACACAACAAAAAAAAAAAGGAGGGGAGATCAGACCGATAGATGTCTGATAGGAAACAAGGAGCAAACCATAGAAGTCACCTGCATAGTGTCACAGAAGTCACCTGCATGGTGTCACAGAAGTCACCTGCTTGGGGTGTTTGTAAGTTTGAATCTGAGGGATACTGTGTATAATGCGTAAATGTTGACAATTTATTGTATGCGTGTACAAATGATCAAGTCAGACTTTCAGACCAATCACATGACTTACGATTATCTACACCTGCAAGGGCGGACAAGTGGGTACACAGACCCCCCAAAAAAAAACCCCAAAACAAACAACAACCAAAAAAACCCCCAAAAGGATGACTTTAACACACTGGAAGCTCCACTTCTGTGTGATCCCAACCCAAGTAGAAAAGACTGCTAAACCTGCCACACAGGTCAATTCAGCCGTACGTGGCGCCCTTGAAGCATGCCGGAAGAGAAATGGACCGACGGTCAGTCCCGCAGAATGACAGGGAACCACACATATGCACAAAAAAACAGAGGTCCCCACGGCTCAAGTACAACCAGTCAACACCTGGTCAGTCCATGTGGCAAGCCGGCTACTCCACAGTCTTTCTTTCTTTGCTTCCAGAAAAGCTGTTGTGTGTTTGTGTAACTGTGCGTGCGTGTGTATGTGTGTGACTGTGTGTTTTGGGGGTGGGGGAGACCCATTGGAGAAACACAGCTCATGGAATTTCTAAATCCTGTAACATTTGGGGAGAACAGTTGCACTTCCGTTTCTGTCTCCAGCTATAAGGAAACTTTGGGAAGAAATGTGGTACCTCATTCTACGAGGAAACTTCAAGAAGAAATGATACACCTCCTCTACTGTCTCCTGTGGTAACGAACTTCTCAAAGTAAAGTTGCACCTCCTTCAATGTCTCCTGTTATAAGGAAACTTGTGGACATAAAGATGCATCTCCTTCAATGTCTCCTGTTATAAGGAAACTCGTACACATAAAGTTGCACCTCTTTCAATGTCTCTTGTTATAAGGAAACTCTTTGACATAAAGTTGCACCTCCTCTTATGTCTCCTGTTATAAGGAAACTTCGTAGACGTAAAGTTGAACCTCCTTCTGTGGCCCCCTATTTACTTTGGTGCAGACTCGATGGTTTCGATCATCTTACTGAGCGTCTTCTTGATACGCAGACAGGTGAGCCGGGCCGCGGGGCTCGGGTGCCAGCACTCACACATCAGTCGGCCCATCACCTTCAGGTACTGGGGACAGGAGACGAGAGCAGATTTAGCCACAGCATTACCAGTAAACACATCGACCAAACTTTACTTGTTTATCGACATTACCAATACACAAACCAACCAATATTACCATTTTGTTTTAGTAGAGGTTTTACGGTGCTCGCAAATGCATAAGGTCATATGAGCGCCAGTAGAGGTGTTACAAGAGAGTAACAAACATAAAAAAGAAGAAGGGGAGATAAGGACGATAGATGTTTGATAGGAAAGAAGAAGCAAACCACACCAGAGCACCCGTCAACCACCCACGAGGAGAGATGAGGACGATCAATGTTTGATAGGAAAGAAGGAGCAGACCACACCAGAGCTCCCGCCAGCCAACCACCATATCAAACAGCTTTCTCCACAAGACAGACAAGCGCAAGTCCTGCACAAACCTCCTGCTCCTCCCACACGGCCGGGATGGTTGGCCTCAACTTCTCCACGCTGACGATCTTCCTCATGTCCTCGATGCCCGGGTCCTGGCCCACGTACTCATAGTACGGCAGCTCCGCCTCCTGGACAAACCCTGCAGGCGGATAAGACAAACAAGGTCATTACTGTGTTCACTGCACATTTGTTTAGTTTAGTTTTAGTAGAGGTTTTACAGCGCTCGCAACTGCATAAGGTCAAATGCGCGCCAGAAGATTAGAGGCGTTACAAGAGAGTAACAAGCACAAAAAAAGAAGAAAGGGATATAATGACGATATATGTTTGTTGATAGGAAAGAAGAACCAAACCAAACCAGAGCACCCGCCAATATCCCACAAAGGGTAAAACAATGGTGTCACAATCTCACCCCACAAGGGACAAAACAATGGTGTCACAATCTCACCCCACAAAGGGTGAAACGATGGTGTCACAATCTCACCCCACAAAGGGTGAAACGATGGTGTCACAATCTCACCCCACAAAGGGTGAAACAATGGTGTCACAATCTCACCCCACAAAGGGTGAAACAATGGTGTCACAATCTCACACCAACAAAGGACAAAACAATGGTGTCACCATCTCACCCCACAAGGACAAAACAATGGTGTCACAATCTCACCTCAAAAGGACAAAACAATGGTGTCACAATCTCACCCCACAAAGGACAAAACAATGGTATCACAATCTCACCCCACAAAGGGTGAAACAACAGTATCACAATCTCACCCCACCCCACAAAGGGTGAAACAACCGTATCACAATCTCACCCCACAAAGGCTGAAACAATTGTATCACAATCTCAACCCCACAAAGGGTGAAACAACAGTATCACAATCTCACCCCACAAAGGGTGAAACAATGGTGTCACAATCTCACCCCACCCGCACAAAGGGTGAAACGACCGTATCACAATCTCACCTCGTATGACGCAGCGGCGGGCAATCTCCCAAAGGACCAGGCCAAAGGCGTACATGTCCGCCTGCTTGTACGAGTCAAAGTGGTTCTTGTTCAGCGTCTCTTCCAGCACCTCGGGGGCCATGTAGCGTTTGGTCCCACATCTGGTGTTGGAGGCCAGGTCCACCTCATTGTTCTCACTGAGGACACAGTGGTCGTTGTTGTGGTATTGCTGTTGTTGTTGTTGTTGTTATACAAATGCACGTTTTACAGCTACATCACCACTTTTTTATATTTATGAGGCCGGTTGTTTGAACCCTGCCCTCTATAACACAATTAGGTCATATAAGTGCCTGAGATGAGAGGTGCTACAAGAGAGCACCAAACACACAAAAAAAGGTGTATCACATAATTAGGTCATATTAGAGCAAAAGATTAGAGGTGCTACAAGAGAGCACCAAACACACACACAAAAAAGGAGGTCTACTTTTTCTTTATGAACTCTTTGATATTCCCACTTGAGCAATGCCACCTCTCACTTAATTTTACCTCAGCTGAATTAATTATGTATGATACAATAAAGTAAATTGCGCTTGGGATAGGGTTAAGCAAACACACCTGACGTATTTGACGGCCAGACCCAGATCAGCGATGCAGCACGTGCCGTTCTTCCGAACCAAAATGTTCTTGCTCTTCACATCTCTGTGGGCTATGGCGGGTTTGCCTGCGCGAGAGAACAATGGAGACGTGATAAAGGAATCATGGCTGATTATGTCCCGACAAGAAAATAAAAGTTCTTTCAAAAGTTAATAAAAGAACTTTCAAAAGTAAATACCAAGAGTTAAATAAAAGAAGCAACCAGTAACAAAATGACAGGAAAAAAATAAACCTCTTTGGAAAGGAAAAGCTAATGGCATTTTGAGACTACTTTTCTATTCAAGAACAGTGCACCGTATTACATTATGCCTGCCAGCTGTTCAGATGTACTAAGCCCAGAAGTTTTAAAAAACATTTTTACTGCAGTTTCTTAATCTGTGGTATCGGTTGCACGTACTCGAGAAATAATTTATTGAAATTCAAATTTCAAAATATAAAAAAATAACCTAGAAAAGACACAAGTTTTTTCTCGTGGCATATATTCTCAAGAGATCTTACACATAGACATATACATATACACATACACGCATAAAAACAACATATGGAAGTTTACTCAGAAAACTTGCACAGACACACGCATGTATTCTCAGAGATACTACACAGAGACATTCCAAAAAACTACTCATACGTTTTCTCAAAGACCAACCTCTAGTGCCAAAAATCTCCACGTGTAGGTGTGAGATGCCACAGGCGGCCGAGTGTGCCAGGTACAACATCTCGGAGGTGTCAAGGGCGTGCAGACGTAGGTAGTCGTAGAGCGAACCGTTCTCATGGTAGTCTGTGATCAGGTAGAGCTGCGTCCACGAGCCCGTGCCTTTGATGTCTGCCGCAATGAAACCTGATACGACAAAAGCATTCAATAACAAGTCATATATATAAACGAGCTTTCCGGCAGACAGAAGAAAATGTTTTTAAAAAATACGTTAAAAAAAATTTGTACATTCACCAGCAGAATTTAAAAAAAATACAGATACATTTTTCCTCTGCTTCTCAAATGACCATAGTGTTCTGAAGAAAGACTTGAACCAATACCCTCAGAAACAACTACCAATTCCCACCCCTCCACTATACACCAGCACTCACCGAGGATATTCTCGTGTCTGAGCAGCACAGTTTGATACAGCTCCGTCTCTCTGAACCAGCTCTGTTCTTCCGTGGTGAAGAAAATTTTCACGGCAACGTTCTCCCCACGCCATTTGGCCTTCCAAACTTCCCCGAAACGCCCCTTGCCAATACTTCGCACCAGAGTGATCTGCTTGGCTATTGTTCTCTGAACCTGAGGACAACAAAGAGAGTACAGTTGGGCACGGAGACGCACTGGAAACAATGGAAATACAATGAAACCTGCTCTAACGGCCACCTGTCCGAGACAATCACCTGTTAAAATGATTTCACATACACTCCCCTCCCCCCCCTCCGCATTAAAAAAATTTGCTGTTCAAGACATTCACCTGTCTAAGACAAAGACTTTTCTCACTGACAATAGGTGGCCACCTTTGACTGTCCCTGTTTGAAATGATTGTGTACAACAGACGAAAGTCAACAAGAATTTTCACGGGGAGATAAATAAAACTGTAACAAATTAGGAAAAGGTAATATGCAGAAGTAACATCCTCTTTTTTGCCTGAGAACATTGTTGATAAAAGGAAGTCGTAAATATATTTCAAAGAGCAACTTCCTCTGGAAGTGTAAATACTTTTAAATTCCCTGTAAATCTTAGTATCCCTCTAGGTTATTTTGAGTACAACTTGACTGAGGGAAGCGTGAGGCTAGCGGAAAAATTTCCAGTCCTGGGAAGGTAAGACAGCTAAGAGGGGTGAGGAACAGGAGAAAATATGATCAATATGAAAATATTGAGACAAGACAATGAAATACCATAAAGAGAGAGAGAGAAAGAGAGAGAGAGAAAGAGACAGACAGAGAGAGAGAGAGAGAGAGAGAGAGAGAGAGAGAGAGAGAAAGAAAGAGAGAGAGAGAGAGAGAGACAGAAAGGAAGAGAGAGAGAGAGAGAGAGAGAGAGAGAGAGAGAGAGAGAGGGGGTAGAAAGAGAGAGAGAGAGAGAAAAAGAGGGGAGGGGGGAAAGAGACAGAGAGAACAAAACCAGCAGCTTGTCTTACTATGAGAGGCAGGCCGGAGCCGCTGCCAGAGCTCTGTGACTCGTCAATCAGACTGTGCAACGTCTGACCCACCGGAACAAATGTCTCGTGCTCAGAGTCCACCAAGAGCTGCTTCCTCCTGAACTCTTGCCTCTTGAACCTGTGATGGGAGACGAACGACAGTATAGTCTTTTCTGCTCATAAGACACTTACAATAACCATGTGATGGGCAAGATCTTATTATATTAAGGGGAAATGAAATTTTGGTTATTCCTGTGAGAAATTTTCTTGTCCCTCATTGGTTAATGCCCAACAATACTGCAGACTCACACTATTTGCCGTTTTAAAAAGCAGCAAAAAACAAACCACCCCCTTCTCTTTGAAAATCACATCTATCACATACAAGAATACAATATTAACCCAGTACTAGTTTTAAATCAATAAATCAAACCGAGATGGAAATGTTCTTATTGGAAGACAAAACCCTTCCCCAATGACCTCAGAGGGTTTCTTTTTCAGATTTAGCAAGAGCTTTACACCACTTGAAAGACAATTAAGTCATTTAAGTGCTGAAGATTGGAGGTGCTATTTCATTTCACTTAGTAAGAGTTTTACGGCTCTTGCAACACAATAAGGCCATTTAAGTGACAAAGATTAGAGGTGATACAAGAGAGTAGCAAACACAAAAAAGATGAAAGAGAGAGATAAGGGTGATAGACGTTTGGTAGGAAAGAAGGAGCAGACAACACCAGAGCACCCACCAACCACCCATGGTGTTACTTCATTGTAATATATGTAAATAAAAGAAGGAGGAGAGTAAGGACGATGGAAATTTGATAAGAAAAGAAAGAAGGAGCAAACCACACCCCAGCATCTGCCAACCACCCACACCCAAGAGTTTTTGTGTCAGTAAAAGTGAGAGTGTGAGTAGTCATATCTCAGACTGTAAGTGTGCATGCATAGTCTCCCGTCCATCGGCAGCAGCAACTCCCCTCTTTTGCTACTTTTAAAAACCAGTCTGCACATACATCAAAGATAAAGAAGTCTCCCAGTTACCTGAGGTAGACAATGGTGATGGCCACGATGAGGATGAGGAGGAAAACCGTGACGGAGATGAGGAGAACTATCTGTGTGACGTTTTCAGCTCTCTTCTCAGGGTCAGACGGGTGCACTGAAAACACACAACATTTTGTTTTGCTTCAGTAAGAGTTTTACCTCCATTACAACACAAACATCAAATAAGTGCCCCAAAAATAGATGTGTCACTAGAGAGTAACATAGAAAAGAAAGAAGAGAGATAAAGACAATAGAAGTTGGACAAGAAAGGAGGAGAAAACAGAACCACCCATAAAGCACAGACCATTTCATTCTTCAAGTGCTCAAATCCTTATCTGTATAGTATGCATACTGAAGCAGCATTGAAAAATCATATATATATATATATATACCTCCACCCCCCCCCCCCCCCAACAAAAAAATCGTTGAAATTTACACTTAAAGAAATTATTAAAAACCACAGATAAATAAACAGTAACAGAGAGCACTCTTAAGAAAAAAAAAAGATGCATGCAGCACCAAGGAAAATGTATCCTTTTTTAACTACCTTTCCTTCTGTAAAATAACTTATGAAAAAGTTATTATTCTAGCAGGAGACCGGGACAAAAGAAAGAAACAACAAAGTGGCGTGTGTATGATGGTGTATCTGGTGGGACTCACCTACACCGGGGAGAAAATCTTCCTCCGAGAAAGTCAAGTTCAGGTTCAGATTGCACAGGTCTTCGTTCTTGCAACAGGCCGAGACCTCTCTGTGCGGCACCGCTGATGGCTGACACTAAAACAAAACACACAGGTCACAAGGCAATCAGATATAATTTTCATCATTCTGAAAACAAATAAGAATAACAGCTACAATGCTGGGCCACACTTCATTATGTAACGGCAGTGACACACGAAATGGTCTTATAAAAGTTTGGCCATTCATGGTCATTTGTTCTTTACACAAACCAGCATATACTGTTTCCACTCCCTATCAAATCAAAGTGACAATGTTGCATAGTAAATATTCACTTTGAAGCCTCTAGTTCTCTCTTGCACCCAAAACGACTGTTACCTTTCAAGAAAACCACACACACACATTTGATATAAAAAAAAAAGGCCAACCCCACTCTTATCATTGTACAAACAAGAGAAGCCAATGGGTAAGAGCTGAGTTGCATCCCGTGAAATCCATGTAAGAGCCCTCAAGGTCTTCAGCTGGCCGTAGATTACCACTTTTACAGAAGGCCACAAAGCATACACCCTGGTGGCTAGAATTTACAATTTCAATTTTTTTTTTTAAATGCGGGTACGCAATAAAAAATAACACTTTTTCAACTCTTGTAAAAGTTATTTGCAACTCAGTATTTGTTCCGTCCGTGTACCACCTGCCATCTGGCCAGGCCAGAGTCACTTCCTCACCTGCAGTAAGGTCCCTCCCTCCGGGGCCAGGCAGCCCCATGTCCGGGTCTCCAGATCCTCCCAGTCTGTCAGCGGAGTCAGAGACTTGGAAGCGTAACAAGCTCCCCCAGGCAACGTTTCACAGGTGCCATTTGTGTCAGAATTGTAACAAGGATGGCAGTGGCACCTCACTGCTTCGGTTCCTTAAATGAAAAAAAAGATAGATACTCACATTAATCTCCTCATAGCACCTCATAAACAAAAATCAGTCATTCAATTGAAGACTGGTGCTCACAGCTGTAAGATAAAAAAGCAAGCAGACAATGTAAGATTTGAATTTCAGCTGCAAATACAAGACAAACATTAAGGATGTTCAGGTTTTTTTTTAAAATGGCGTGTCATTCGATTACTTAATACGCATGAAATATTTTCAAGTCTAAGAAAAGATTTTTGTTATCAATTTATCCCCATTCCAACTTTTAACATGGTTGGTATTGCCATGTTCAGTTTTAGCTGTATCAGATCTCACTTCATGTTTTGAGCATGAGTCAAATTTCAGAGTTCAAAACAGTGCTGGGTAGAAAGTCAAAATTGGTGTAAAACAGATAAAAAGGAACAAGCGCTTTAGAATATCTTAGCATGAAAAAGGTCCATGAATAAAATAATAGAAGGCTACCTCAAAAACTATTAATTTGCCATGGATATAATAAATAAAGCCAACGACTCATGTAAAAAAAATCCATTAAAAATGAATGAGAAAGAAAAGGGCTAGGCCTATACATTTGTTTACAACAGTCTAAATGAACATGAGATAGTGAAAGTAAAATAATACAAATGAAGGAAACCGAAAAGATTACACTTGAGTAAATTAGTTTTTACTAGATCTAGTTTTGACTCAACTGACTGAGATTCAACAATTTCTAAAACTTTAGTTAATTAGTTCGCAGAGCATCTTCAGTTGCAGATTTGTTTAGCAGTCTTTCTGATGCTTCCTTCCTTTTAAAAACTCAAAACCCATCAGAAAATTGCGAACAATGATAATGGTAAGTAAACTTTTGCCATCGGTTAGCCCACGGAAAAACTTACTAAGACGAGTTAAATTCTAGAACTTATGTTGATGATAGACTATAGGCGTGTTATAAATTTAAATGTCAATTAGCGCGATCTCTGTGGATTGCAAAACACATTTTGTGAATCCATGGAATGCGCAACAATCCATCGATAGTTGCGCATTCTGTAAATCTAGATCGATGGATCGCGCAGCGCTTTTTGTGGATCCATCTTATAAAACCGTATACTAGACTAGGAAGCTCAAAGGTGGCATCCTATCTGTTTTTTAAGGTCTTGTGATCGTTGGTGCCTGCTCCACGCCTGACACCTGCCTGAAGGAGGAGGAATTAGACATGTAATTCATTATCTAGGTAAGTTATTTCTATCATACGTATGACATTAACTTCGGCTTAGTGCAATGTCAACAATAATATGGATATGGACGCTCATCTGATGTTAACACCTTATAATTTCAGTTATTCTTTTACTTTCCATCCCGTCTCACAATCAGCTACCAATTGTCCATTTTCTAAGTTAAATATTGAAGCGCTGAACACGAATATCAACTTCATTTCCGCCGCACATTAATAGTTTCTGAAATATTTGATTGTTTTTTAATTGAGCTATCATATCATATTATGGCTCACCGCTTTGTAATTTGTCCGCTTCGGACCAATCGGGGGGTTTCAGGGGGGCCCCTGGGGTAAAAAAACCGAAGTGACTATTTTTCAGAACGCCCAGGAAAATGAAGTTGAACTCTATTTCTCTTAACGGTTTCTGATCTCGAGATTTTTTGGTTATTTGTGAGATTTAGGCATCATCCTTGCATAATTTCATTCTGGCATTCTGTGAGGAAGCATTTTTTGCTTCGAATTCAATTTTTAGAGCTAGAGATTTTTATAATGTCTGAATATTCAGATACTTCAGTTGTGGTTGGGGCAACCTCCCCGACTATTCTTCATTTGAAAATATTTTCAAAAGGTACTGCGAGAAAACAAGATTGCTCGACCTTGGCAGTAACCTATTTTGCATTTAGTCACCCAGCAAAAACTAAAATCCTTCATGTAAAAGAAAAACAAAACTGCTCCACGTCCCCCCTCCCCCCCGGTCACATCTTACACACACACTGACTTACACACACACGCATACTCACACATGGGCCACTCCATTCGCTTATTATTAATAAATC